ACTAAAGATCAACAGCTGGTTTAAACAGCATACTTTCTGAATTACAACTATAGCTGGAATGAGCTCATATTATTAATTTAACATTATTAAATATTTTAAATATTAGTTTGGCACATGAGAAGATAACTCCATGCACTTAAAAGAGCCTCTCACAAACTTGACCTTGCAAATATACTGAATTTAACTGAACCAAACTGATTTAACTTTACCATCCTAGCCTCTGGTGGTATTTTGGCTCAACAGTGGTAAAGTGTATGAAAAGGACATGCCTAATATAAGTATCACTGCTTGAAGCATTTTTTCAATATTTTTGGCCTCCCCATTACATTTTTTTGTAAAAAAAAACAAGTCCTGTGTTCACAGAGAAAAAGATTTTAATCCCTTCCTTGCGAAGTCTTCAATTTTGCACTTTCTTTTAACTTTATACATCCCCAGCTAGAAAATGTTTCTCTTCCGTCTGTTTATTCTTTTCCCACACAGTTTATAGTGTGGCTCTAAGGAAATGAGTGGAAAAATTGATGAGCATTGTTTAAGTTTTGTCACCCCGGGTGTGTAAGAAGAGGTTTCACTGTGATATATCACTTGGCATATATTTTCTAAGAGGATACTAATTTTCACGGCCATCGCAAGTTCCATACGTAGTCAAAAGTCATACCAGTTGTCAATTTTTTTTTTTAGCAATGACTGATACCACAGGTTACCCAAGCATAACATAAGAGTTTGCATGGGGAATGAAGACTTTGTATAGGAAATAAAGCCACAAGTAAATTATCCTATACAGCTACAATGGTACATACGCTCTGACTGGCTGTTTTCCTGTAATGACCGGGCATTATTTTCTTGTAATGACCAGGCAATACTAGCTAGGTGTCCAAGGCATATACCATCTGTGTTTAACTTGATAGTGGACATCCTTATGGAGATCCATGTTCTGGTCGATTGACAGCTGTCAAAAAGGGTATCCACTGATCAGTGTCACCTGACTGTATCATGGGCTCAAGTGTACAACTCACAGAGGTGATGTGTTTTTTTAAAGTTATCCGCTGACCAATTGTTGGTTTTAATTGGTCGCAGGCTCAGGTCCATGATGAAAAGGCCATATAACAGATAACTGATAAACCTTGTCCGTTCAGTCATTACAGGAAAATCTCAGACCAATGCCTTGATGTATTGTTTCAAGCAATAGCAAGGTCAATACATCAAGACCTAGGTCTGAGATTTCCCTGTGATGACCTCTCACTCTCAGTTAATAAGTAGTATGCATTGTCCATCTGTCTACAAAGTTTCAGTGTGATTTAAGCAGTATAACATCATATGACCTGATAGTGTAATTTTACTCTCCATTATTACACTGCTAGGCTAGATTATGTTGTACTCCTCAAGTTGTGCCGAAACTTCTTAGATTAGGATGGACAACGACACCAGCTAATAATATTTAAACTTAATTCATAACTTTTAATCATCGTAGTTCAAACATCTGTTGTAAGTTTTATTTCCCATAAAATCTCTTTTTTAAGCTTGGGCTACCTGTGCTGATACAAGAGTGGGGTTAACTAACAAATTTTAAAATTTAGAAAGTACTTAATAACAATATTGATGCAATGAAATCATCATTCAAGACTTTCACTCTTAGTCTATAATAAAAAATATTGAAGCTGGCCAAGTTATAGCTAGTTTTAAATAAGGCAACTGAGCAAGCTAATTAGACTCTAATTGCCAGTAGTGGCAAACAAGGTGTTTAAAATGCCTCAGTAAAGCTTCCTTTCTGCCACCAAGGATTTATTGATTAAAGACAGACATACATTTAAAAATCAAAATTCCACTGAAAAAATCTTAAGCTGATATGAAGTATATCTCACTATATCCTGAACAGTTTTACTCATATGTGATTTATGATTTGTTAACTTCAAGTTGCATAAAAGTAATGTTATTACAAATGATAAAAACTTTGAAAAGAGCATAATAGTAAATAAGTTATTAAAGAAAATTGGACATATATGTGTCGTAGCAAGCCTGAGTTACTCAGCTGCAGTGAGCTTTAAATTAAGGACATAAATGTATTTGAATGTGTCTGTTGTTTTATTGTGTTTGACTGAGGGATCTGATCCTGCAACAGTGTAACCTATCAAGCAAATTAGACAGTACTCCAGACATCAAGAAATGAGCTGAAAGATAAAGATTCACCATCGCTGGCATATTTTAAGCCAACTTCAAGGTAACTCAGCAGCAGGAGCGGATCTACACTAGTACCACTGTTTACAAAAATAGGTCAGATTTTTCGATCGAAATAAACATATTTTTAATT